CGACGATTTCCATTATTTTATCGACATTTTCGACAATTGGCCTTCCAGAGCGTGGTGCATCTTTGACATCAAAATTACCGGAACGGAATCGACGAAACCAAAATTGCGCGTGATTGGCTGTTACAGTATCAGGACCATAAACACTATTCACATTTTCAGCCGCCTGGCTTGCGTTTTCGCCTTTATCGAAGAAAAACTGTAAAATATGGCGTATTTTCTCTTTGCTGGTGTCCATCTTTGACGCGCGCTCAAACAATACTGAGTCAAACAATCACAAAACTGTCTCAGAAGTTTTTTTAGTACGAAATCTTATCTTTCTGACGCCATCTAGCGTAAACCGATCGCACTTATACAACGCGAGATACACATTACTAAAGCCATCTATTGTAAAAATAATGGATTTCTTTTTATTACACCTTATATTTGGCTGAAATATCGATCTCCAGCGCTGCTGTGAAAGTACCGTCCGGCACGATCGGTACACTATCTAGTATCTAATATTCCTTGTTCTTTTTCGAGTAATTATGTACAAGACCTTTTTCGAATTTTGATATTTTTTTGCAACTCTTTTGGTAAAAATATTTATTTTGACTTCAACATTGATAATCAATAATAATAATCTGGGAAGTCCGAAAAATATGCAAGTTATATATTGTTTTAACTTTTTCTTTATTTTTTTTCACTTGTCAAATATTGCTGCTTTCCTACAATTTAAACAAGTTACTGATTTTTTAATCACATTATGTAACTGCAATATCGAATGACTAGCGGGGGGCTGTGCCCTCCGCACCTTCCTTCAAAACTAACCTAATCTAAACTATTGTCACATTAACCGTCAGTCATTGTTTATTAAAGTGTTCAACTTTTTTTCTTAATAATTCTTTAATAAACAATGACTAACGGCTAATGTGACGATAGGTTGGGTTAGGTTAGGTTAGTTTTGAGAGCGGGCGTAGCCCTCCCGCTAGTCGTTCGATATTGCAGTTACATAATGTGATTAAAAGATCAATAACTTATGTAAATTGTGGGAAAGCAGCAACGTGTGACAAGTGAACAAAAAATATTAAAACAATATATAATTTGCATATTTTTCAGACTCCCCCGATTGATTATCAATGTTGGAGTTAAAATAAATATTTTTACCAAAAGAGCTGCAAAAAAATATCAAAATCCGAAAAAGGCTCTATTGTAATAATACCCGAAAAAGAACCAGGAGTATTGAAATACTAGATAGTACACTGATCGTGCCTGACGATACTTCCACAGCAGCGCTTGAGATTGATATTTCGGCCAAATACATGATTTTTTAATATTTAATTAAAATTATCTGGATGACTCACAAACCTTTTTAATGATACTTCGTAACTCTTCATACGAAATACAAACAATATCATACCGAACCTTTGTTTAATTTACCTCCGGTCATTATTTCCGGCTAAATGATCCAAAAAAGAACAATTAATTACAAGTAACAGAATGATACACAAATATTTTCAATTGCACTTCAAAACTTTTCATACGAAATACAAATTTAAAAGAATAGTTTTCCAACCGGAGTTTTTTTCCGGTCAAGTACATACAAATCCCAGTAACGTAAGACGTGAAGGCCCTCACACATGAAATAACATAACTGTATGTGCATAGCATGAGACTGTATGGACCAATGACCATCGAGTATTGAGCATCAAGCATCAATATGGCGGCTAAATTCTCGATGCTTATTGGTCCATACAGTCTTATGCTATGCACATGCAGTTATGTCATTTCATGGTGAGAGAAGAATAACCAATCACAATCTAAGAATTGACCAATCACATTAAAAATCGTCGAACCGTAAGGTTGCCATTTTAATGAATACTCGATCGTAATTGGTCAATTCTTACGTCCTACGTTACTATTAGGTCATTTGTGTGAAGGGCCTCCTCACATAAATTGACATAACAGTAACGTAAGACGTACCGTAAGAATTGACCAATTACGATCGAGTATTCATCAAAATGGCGACCTTACGGTTCGACGATTCTCAACATGATTGGTCAATTCTTACGGTACGTCTTACGTTACTGTTATGTCAATTTGGGCTGCGTTCCGAAATTCACTGCCAGTACTGAAATTCTATAATATACGTAACATGAACTATAGATTTTCAGTACTGGCAGTGTATTTCGGAACGCAGCCTTGGTGTGAAGGCTCGAAAGCCTGTTCTACAATACGTCGTATGTTGGAGTCGAATGTCGGAACACAATCAATGGTCCAATCAGGAGAACTCGTCTTGAAAAACAAATCCTCTGATTGGCCCATCGACTGCGTTCGATATCCGACTCCGACATACAACGTATTATAGAACAGGTCTTACAGGTGCCGCACTTTAGAGCATATATATATGGAGGGGAAATGCTGGCACGAAAGTGTTTCCAAGATGTGTGCGAGAGAGAAAGCTATATGTCCTCTATGCGCATGCAAGTTGAAGTTGACAGGTTAGGTTAGGTTATAGAGTTGACAGGAAATAAAAGTTATTTAATTTATTTTCATAAAACTCTGAGAATTTTTTCAGAATTTTGTATTAATTTTCTAGTACTTCAAGAAAATGCAAGAAAACGCAAGAAAATGCAACACTAAAAAAATTAATATAAAATTCTGAAAAAATTCTCCGAGCTCTATGAAAAGAAAATTTTTATCTCTTACTATTTTT